AAGCTGAGCTGAGAGCTGTGCCGGGCCTGCGTCCCTGCATCTTGACAAGTCCCCCGTTCCACTCAGAAGCCTACCGACACAGCAAGCAATAAATAATATTTCGTTTGTCATTTAAAAATTAGGTACACGAATGCCATCTAGTCTCCTGAGGGCAAAGCGACCAGACCTGAAGTTGCAGTCATTTGATGCCAATCAAGCAACAGCAAAGGAAGTTAGGAGTGGCTTCCACTGCTTTCTCCCAGGGGACATAGTCTTATTTAGGGTTTCTGAGCTACGCAACATTAATTCCCAGGCTTTTGCAATCAGAGAGACACAGATTATGGGACAAGCCTCATACTTTTCCTTCGGTATTGAGACTACTCTCTCAAATGTAAGCTCTCCTGTCAAAGGACCCAACCAGCTAAGCTGGCATATGCAACCGGTGCAAGATTGGTGTTTCATTTCCAACTAGGGTATTTTTATGGGGAAGGGGGTCGTCTGGAGTAAATGTCCTGACTCAAATAATGACTCCCTCAGTAAGTATTTCAGCTCCCAGGGACGTGCTGTGTAGGGAGTTTGACACAGGGTTGGGTTGGCATTCAGAGCCCTCAAATTGTGCCAGACAGAGCACTTGCCTGATTCAGCCATGTGTAGGGATAAAAACAGGTCTTCTATTTTTACACTGTCTATCCCACTTTTTCTCCCCACCCTACCCCCCACCTTTTCAGGGGTCAATCTGGCTGCCCCCTCTTAATTTTCCCCCATACACTCCCAGGCCTAGGTTTCCACAGTGCACTGCCATGTCTACAGACTTAGATTGCTACTTAATGTGTAACCTCGGACAAGATAATTGATTTATTTTTTTGGAAGGAGGTTACTTTGTTTTATTTTATGTGTATGGGTGTTTGCCTGCATGTATGTCTGTGTACAACGTGCCTGCCTGGTGCCCAGAGAAGTCAGAAGAGGACATTAGATTCCCTGGGACTGGAGTTACAGATGGCTGCCAGCTCCTGTGTGGATGTAGGGAATTAAACCTGGGTTCTCTGGAGGGGCAGCCCGTGCTCTTCACTGTTGAGCCGTGTCTTTAGCCCCCAAGAGAACTTATTTTACTGAGCCTTGGTTTCTACATACCCCAAAAGGGAATAACAATAGTAATACTAGCAATGCCTACTTTGCGGAGAGCTTTTTGAGGATTGAATGAGAAAGACAAATATAAAGTAGAAAGTAAAGTGATGGGTACAAGCTCTCAATAAATGTAACCTATTGTTATTATCACTGGACATTCAACCTTGATTACTCCTTTTCCTAGATACTCTTTTCTCTCCCTTCCCTAGACAGTCTGGACAGGTGTCAGGATCCATGTGTAGACAAATTGGTTTCAGACGGAAGCTTACTTCTCACCTAGTTGGCCAAAAGCCACCTTGGTATTCTTCTGGGTGCTCAGTATCGGGCCTAGGACCTCAGCAGATGGCCACCACCCCAGCCACACCTTCATCTCCTCCAGCAGGTGTTTGATCACCTTCTTAAAACCAAAGCCACCTAGGGGTCAGGGTTCTCCCCAGGCAAGGGTGGAGGGAGATACTTCCTGACACATGACCAAATCACTCCCCTTCCCCCTCCCACCATTCACACCCTGCTCTCCTGTCCTAGCATGCTTCTTACTTCCTATGCTAGGTTCTTCCGCCTCACCCCCACGTCAGCTCAACCTCATT